ACCCATAGACTCACCACACAGAGACCCATAGACTCACACACAGAGACCCATAGACTCATCACACAGAGACCCATAGACTCATCACACAGAGACCCACAGACTCACCACACAGAGACCCAGAGACTCGTGACCGCCACCTGCTGTCCGCCTTGCGGCACTGCGTGTCTGGCGCCTGGACATGGAGACTGACAATCGGCGACGTTTGGGGCAATGCGCCTCCCGCAGAGCACGATAGTCAACTCACGACGTCACCCACAAACACACCCACAAACTCACTCACAAACCCACTCACAAACTCGCTCAAACTTACCCACAAACTCACTCAAACTCACCCACAAACTCACTCAAACTCACCCACAAACTCACTCACAAGCTCACTCACAAACTCACCCACAAACTCGCTCACAAAGTCACCCACAAACTCACTCACAAACCCACTCACAAACTCGCTCAAACTTACCCACAAACTCAGTCAAACTCACCCACAAACTCACTCAAACTCACTCACAAACTCACCCACAAACTCACTCACAAACTCACTCACAAACTCACCCACAAACTCACTCAAACTCACTCACAAACTCACCCACAAACTCACTCACAAACTCACTCACAAACTCACCCACAAACTCGCTCACAAACTCACCCCCAAACTCACTCACAAACTCACCCACAAACTCACTCACAAACTCACTCACAAACTCACCCACAAACTCACTCACAAACTCACCCACAAACTCGCTCACAAACTCACCCACAAACTCACTCACAAACTCACTCACAAACTCACTCACAAACTCACCCACAAGCTCACCCACAAACTCACTCACAAACTCACCCACAAACTCACCCACAAACTCACTCACAAACTCACTCACAAACTCACCCACAAACTCACCCACAAACTCACTCACAAACTCACCCACAAACTCACTCACAAACTCACCCACAAACTCACTCACAAACTCACTCACAAACTCACCCACAAACTCACCCACAAACTCACCCACAAACTCACTCAAACTTACTCACAAACCCACCCACAAACTCACTGACAAACAAAGACAAAGATCCCCTGTGTAGCCTTAACAGACTGTTGGGGCAAGTGCTGTTAGCGAGTAGCAGCAGCGCCTATGAAGGCCGGTACAGCACACGGGTGGGTGGCCAGCACCATTCCCGGCCGCCTTTGTCTCCCCGATGGCGATTATTACTACACACCGCACCAGGTACTCATTTGAGGCTGAGTCAACCTAGGAGAGGCCCGGGACCGGTTCTGATAATCGTCACTGGTGGTGTCGGTATCCGTGAGCGGGACTCGAACTCAGGATGTTGGGTAGCACAGCGCGCTAACCACTGCACCACCGCTCCCCACTCACACGCACACACACGATTCTCCTAATTCACGTGTTCACACAGTCACCCAACCACTCGGCACACTCACTCACCCATCCACTCACACGCCCACACAGACGTACAGACCCACCCACTCACACACCCAATTACTCACACACTCACCCACCCACTCACCGACTTACACACTCACACACCAACACCAACTCACATTCACACACCCACAAATTCACTCACCCACCCACAAAGACATTGATGGTCCACACACTCGCTCATCCACTCACATCCGCAGAGATCAAGAGACTCACACAGACGCATAGACGCACACAGAGACCCATACAATCACACAGAGACCCATAGACTCACACATAGACCCATAGACTCACACAGAGTCCCATAGACTCACACAGAGACCCATAGACTCATACAGAGTCCCATAGAATCACATAGAGACAAATAGACTCACACAGAGACCCAAAGACTAATACAGAGACCCATAGACTCACACAGATACCCATATACTCACACACAGAGACCCATAGACTCACACACAGAGACCCCCACACACACACAGACTCATATACCTACTCACACGGAGCCCCTAGACTCATTACAGAGACCCATAGACTCGCACAGAGACCCACAGACTCACGCACAGAGACCTACATACTCACACACAGAAACCCACAGACTCACACACAGAGATCCACAGACTCACACACAGAGCCCCCTAGACTCATTATACAGAGACCCATAGACTCACCACACACACACAAACCCACTCACACAGACTCACAGGCTCACACACAGAGACACACAACAACAACCGCCATTCGCCACTAAGTGGCGGTGACGTCACCACGACGCTTGTGCCAGGCCATGTGCACCTTGAGGCCACGTGAAGTGTCGAACGCCCGCTTGCAGGAGGTCACGGGGCAGACCCAGGTGCCACGGGTCGACTGACTGAGATGACTGGCTGATGCACCACCTGTGCCCCCTACTGTGCCAACCTGCTGTGCTTTAGCCACCCGGCGCTCCGCTCGTTGTTGTGAGCGTCGCTCCTCCGCCCTCCGTTGTTGTTGGAGGGCGACTGCCTCCAACTGCCCAGTAGCGTCCTTCACGAGCCTCCTCCACAGAGGCCGATCTTGACACCGCTGGTACCAGTCATCGGCAAGTCCACTCAGCTCCACGTCCTCCTGTACCACATCACTCCATCCCTTCTCTAGCCCATGCTGCGCCCGTTTAGCCCCCTCGATCCGGCCGAACAAAAGCTGTTTTGGCATGCGGTGGCTGGGCATGCGGGCTACATGACCCAGCCAACGCAGCCTTGCCTGCCGGAGGAGCTCACCGATGGGACCTTGCCCAGATCTTTCAAGGATTTGTGAGCTCCTCACACAATCCAGCCTGGTTAAACCCAGGATGGATCGTGGGCAGGCTAGCCTAAATGTTTCTAACCGGCGAAGATGTTCCATTTGGGGGGTCCACGTTTCGCAAGCGTAGAGAAGGGAGGGAATGACCGTGGCCGAGAAGACCTGAAGCTTAGTGCGGAGCGACAGACCAGGTAGCTTCCACACAGCGTTACGCAACCGATGAAAAGATATTGCCGCTAGACTGATTTGGAGTGAGACCTCTGCTGTTAAACTGGAGCCGGTCATAAGCACACTGCCCAGGTATGGGAAACTCTCCACTCTCTCCACAACTGCCCCATCACCGATTGGGAGTTGTGGGGGTGGAGTGTCCGATGGTACAAAATACCCAGGCAGGTGCTTAGTTTTGGTGGGGCTGATGGTAAGGCCCCATCTCTTAGTGGCACGCTCCAGTCTCAGCAGCAGCGTCTCCAACTCCTCCTCTGAATGAGCAGCTATTACCAAATCATCGGCATACATAACGTGGTTGAGCAATAGGGAGCCATCCCTTGACCGCACCTGGGTATTGATCAGCTTCCCATTCTATCTGTACCAAATGGAAATTCCCCCGGTACAGCTATTGAAGGCTTCACGAACTACGTGGTGAAAATAGATGTTAAATAATGTGGGAGCCAGAGGACATCCCTGTCGCAACCCAAGGTGTACAGGGAATGGCTCTGACTCCCGGCCACGTAGTTTCACCCGGGCCCGCTCACCATCATGAAGGTCCTTAATGATCGTGAGCAGAGGGTCAGGGACTCCAAAAGCACGAAGAACAACCCAGAGCCCAGGCCTACTGATGGTATCATAGGCCTTGACCAGGTCAATAAAGCAGAGATGTTGGTCTTGCTGGAATTCCCTACACCTCTGCTGTAGCAGACGGACAAAGAATATGGCATCTGTGCAGGACCGCCCTTTCCTGAAACCGCATTGGGGCTCCGCAAGCCTCTCCTCAGCGTGCCTGGCAAGGCGATGTTGAATAATCCTTGCCAGGACCTTTCCCGGCACACTGAGGAGTGAGATGCCCCTGTAGTTGTTACAGTCTGTGCGGTCCCCCTTCTTAAAAGGGGAACCACCAGGGCATCCTTCCAATCCTGCGGAACCCGTCCAGTGGTCCAGACTGTTGTTATGATGTCATATAGGGCAGTCTGTGCACAAACGCCACCCTCCCTCAGCATTTCGCTTGGGAGATCATCTCTGCCCGCTGCCTTTCCTGGTTTCAGACTCCGGATCGCCTTCAGTACTTCCTCAACAGATGGCAACTCAGCCAGCCACTCACAGGCGGTGACTTCTTCCAATATTTGAGGCACCGCAGCCTCAGCAGAGTCATCCTCACTTTGTGCCACGATGTTTTCCTGGCCGAGGGATTTCCCCTCCCCCAGGACCTCACAGAAATGCTCAGCAAATCTGCAAACCAGAGACGCACACACACAGACCCACAGACTCACACACACAGACTCACACACAGACCCGAAGACTCACCATACACACACACAGACCCACAGACTCACACCCAGACACACACATAGACACACACATAGACCCGAAGACTCACCACACACACAGACCCACAGACTCACACACAAAGATAAAAGATAAAGATCCCCCGTATAGCCTTGACAGACTGTTGGGGCAAGTGCTGTTAGCGAGCACCTATGAAGGCTGGAACGGTACACGAGGGGGTGGGTGGCCAGCACCACGCCCGACCGCCTTTGTCTCCCTAGTGACAATGTTTACACACCGCACCAGGTACTCATTTGAGGCTGAGTCGACCTAGGGGAGGCCCGGGACCGGTTCAGATAATCGTCACTGGTGTTGGCCGTGAGCGGGAATCGAACCCGGGTCGCCAGGTTCATAGCGCAGCGCGCTAACCGCTACACAATCGCTCCCCACACTGACACACACACAGACACACAGACACACACACAGACCCGAAGACTCACCACACACACACACAAACCCACACAGACCCATGATTCACCCACATCCACTTTATTACTGTGTGACGTCATTTGCACCCTCCGGGATTCCTGTGTGGCGACGTCATCGCTCGAGGCACGCCCCACCCGCGGCGCTATGACGTCATCCACCCCCCACTTTCTTTCGGAATTCCTCGAATTCGAAATCGGTTTTCTAATCTTTCGATTGCATAACGGAATCGATTGCCTCTTTTTAACACCGACATAGCCTTAATGGAATCGATTCCACCAATGTAATCGGTCGATACAACACCCCAACCCGCCTTCGAACACGAAAGTCGCCGCAGATCGGAATCGATGTTTTTTGGCGCGTAAAAGGCGTGGCGACGAATCGATTCCGGCGGATCGATCTCCCGCCACCTCCCTCCCTCTCCCCGTCCGAAGCCACCGCTGAGTGAAGCGGCGTCATCACGAGGCGACCGCATCACAACCCTCCCCCCGCCACCGCCGCCCTCAGAAGCTTGTGCGCTGCCGCCATCTTAAAAAAGTCCGTCACCTACTTTTTTTAATCTTAAAAAAACCGAAACAAGGTTTAAAGTGGCGGTAACTGAGAGATAACTTTCGATTAAAGTTACTCGCCGGCGGGCGGTGGGTGAGGGGAGAGGGGTGGAGGCAACGTCGTCCCCACACTTCGAGACTCCGACGAATCATCGCCGGCTTCGCTCAAGGCGTTCGGGCAAGTCTACGGCCTGGGAACCCCTCGCCGCCCCCCGCCCCTTCCTCCCCGGCCGCGCCAGCCAGGCGAGACCGTAGGCCTCGGCCTACCCTCTTCGGTCTCTTGTACCGGGAGTTCGCTGGGTGGAGTTTAATCGTTTAGAGGTTTAAAGTTTTTAGGAGCTCGCGTGAGAGAAAAAGTAAAACGTGAGGAGAAGTTTACGGCTTGGGAAGCGATTATGTTGAACGGTCAACGAGTTCCTTGTGTGGCAAAAGGTCCTGGGGTTAGTGGGTTTAAGTGACGTGGGGTTAGTGGGTTTAAGTGACGTGGGGTTAGTGGGTTTAAGTGTCGTGGGGTTAGTGGGTTTAAGTGGCGTGGGGTTAGTGGGTTTAAGTGTCGTGGGGTTAGTGGGTTTAAGTGACGTAGGGTTAGTGGGTTTAAGTGACGTGGGGTTAGTGGGTTTAAGTGACGTGGGGTTAGTGAGTTTAAGTGACGTGGGGTTAGTGGGTTTAAGTGTCGTGGGGTTAGTGGGTTTAAGTGTCGTGGGGTTAGTGGGTTTAAGTGACGTGGGGTTAGTGGGTTTAAGTGACGTGGGGTTAGTGGGTTTAAGTGACGTGGGGTTAGTGGGTTTAAGTGACGTGGGGATAGTGGGTTTAAGTGACGTGGGGTTAGTGGGTTTAAGTGACGTGGGGTTAGTGGGTTTAAGTGACGTGGGGTTAGTGGGTTTAAGTGACGTGAGGTTAGTGGGTTTAAGTGTCGTGGGGTTAGTGGGTTTAAGTGACGTGGGGTTAGTGGGTTTAAGTGTCGTGGGGTTAGTGGGTTTAAGTGACGTGGGGTTAGTGGGTTTAAGTGACGTGGAGTTAGTGGGTTTAAGTGACGTGGGGTTAGTGCGTTTAAGTGACGTGGGGTTAGTGGGTTTAAGTGACGTGGGGTTAGTGGGTTTAAGTGTCGTGGGGTTAGTGGGTTTAAGTGACGTAGGGTTAGTGGGTTTAAGTGACGTGGGGTTAGTGGGTTTAAGTGACGTGGGGTTAGTGGGTTTAAGTGACGTGGGGTTAGTGGGTTTAAGTGACGTGGGGTTAGTGGGTTTAAATGACGTGGGGTTAGTGGGTTTAAGTGACGTGGGGTTAGTGGGTTTAAGTGACGTGGGGTTAGTGGGTTTAAGTGACGTGGGGTTAGTGGGTTTAAGTGACGTGGGGTTAGTGGGTTTAAGTGACGTGGGGTTAGTGGGTTTAAGTGTCGTGGGGTTAGTGGGTTTAAGTGACGTGAGGTTAGTGGATTTAAGTGACGTGGGGTTAGTGGGTTTAAGTGTCGTGGGGTTATTGGGTTTAAGTGTCGTGGGGTTAGTGGGTTTAAGTGACGTGGGGTTAGTGGGTTTAAGTGACGTGGGGTTAGTGGGTTTAAGTGTCGTGGGGTTAGTGGGTTTAAGTGTCGTGGGGTTAGTGGGTTTAAGTGTTGTGGGGTTAGTGGGTTCAAGTGACGTGGGGTTAGTGGGTTTAAGTGACGTGGGGTTAGTGGGTTTAAGTGACGTGGGGTTAGTGGGTTTAAGTGACGTGGGGTTAGTGGGTGTAAGTGTCGTGGGGTTAGTGGGTTTAAGTGTCGTGGGGTTAGTGGGTTTGAGTGTCCTGGGGTTAGTGGGTTTAAGTGTCGTGGGGTTAGTGGGTTTAAGTGACGTGGGGTTAGTGTGTTTAAGTGTCGTGGGGTTAATGGGTTTAAGTGACGTGGGGTTAGTGGGTTTAAGTGATGTGGGTTTAAGTGACATGGGGTTAGTGGGTGTTAGTGACGTGGGGTTAGTGGGTTTAAGTGTCGTGGGGTTAGTGGGTTTAAGTGACGTGGGGTTAGTGGGTTTAAGTGTCGTGGGGTTAGTGGGTTTAAGTGACGTGGGGTTAGTGGGTTTAAGTGTCGTGGAGTTAGTGGGTTTAAGTGTCGTGGGGTTAGTGGGTTTAAGTGACGTAGGGTTAGTGGGTTTAAGTGACGTGGGGTTAGTGGGTTTAAGTGACGTGGGGTTAGTGGGTTTAAGTGACGTGGGGTTAGTGGGTTTAAGTGACGTGGGGTTAGTGGGTTTAAGTGACGTGGGGTTAGTGGGTTTAAGTGACGTGGGGTTAGTGGGTTTAAGTGACGTGGGGTTAGTGTGTTTAAGTGTCGTGGGGTTAGTGGGTTTAAGTGACGGGGGGTTAGTGGGTTTAAGTGACGTGGGGTTAGTGGGTTTAAGTGACGTGGGGTTAGTGGGTTTAAGTGTCCTGGGGTTAGTGGGTTTAAGTGACGTGGGGTTAGTGGGTTTAAGTGTCGTGGGGTTAGTGGGTTTAAGTGTCGTGGGGTTAGTGGGTTTAAGTGACGTGGGGTTAGTGGGTTTAAGTGACGTGGGGTTAGGGGGTTTAAGTGACGTGGGGTTAGTGGGTTTAAGTGACGTGGGGTTAGTGGGTTTAAGTGACGTGGGGTTAGTGGGTTTAAGTGACGTGGGGTTAGTGGGTTTAAGTGACGTGAGGTTAGTGGGTTTAAGTGTCGTGGGGTTAGTGGGTTTAAGTGACGTGGGGTTAGTGGGTTTAAGTGTCGTGGGGTTAGTGGGTTTAAGTGACGTGGGGTTAGTGGGTTTAAGTGACGTGGGGTTAGTGGGTTTAAGTGACGTGGGGTTAGTGGATTTAAGTGACGTGGGGTTAGTGGGTTTAAGTGTCGTGGGGTTATTGGGTTTAAGTGTCGTGGGGTTAGTGGGTTTAAGTGACATGGGGTAAGTGGGTTTAAGTGACGTGGGGTTAGTGGGTTTAAGCGTCCTAGGGTTAGTGGGTTTAAGTGACGTGGGGTTAGTGGGTTTAAGTGTCCTAGGGTTAGTGGGTTTAAGTGTCGTGGGGTTAGTGGGTTTAAGTGACGTGGGGTTAGTGGGTTTAAGTGTCGTGGGGTTAGTGGGTTTAAGTGACGTGGGGTTAGTGGGTTTAAGTGACGTGGGGTTAGTGGGTTTAAGTGACGTGGGGTTAGTGGGTTTAAGTGACGTGGGGTTAGTGGGTTTAAGTGACGTGGGGTTAGTGGGTTTAAGTGACGCGGGGTTAGTGGGTTTAAGTGACGTGGGGTTAGTGGGTTTAAGTGACGTGGGGTTAGTGGGTTTAAGTGTCGTGGGGTTAGTGGGTTTAAGTGACGTGGGATTAGTGGGTGTAAGTGACGTGGGGTTAGTGGGTTTAAGTGACGTGGGGTTAGTGGGTTTAAGTGACGTGGGGTTAGTGGGTTTAAGTGACGTGGGGTTAGTGGGTTTAAGTGACGTGGGGTTAGTGGGTTTAAGTGACGTGGTGTTAGTGGGTTTAAGTGACGTGGGGTTAGTGGGTTTAAGTGACGTGGGGTTAGTGGGTTTAAGTGACGTGGGGTTAGTGGGTTTAAGTGACGTGGGGTTAGTGGGTTTAAGTGACGTGGGGTTAGTGGGTTTAAGTGACGTGGGGCTAGTGAGTTTAAGTGTCGTGGAGTTAGTGGGTTTAAGTGACGTGGGGTTAGTGGGTTTAAGTGTCATGGGGTTAGTGGGTTTAAGTGTCGTGGGGTTAGTGGGTGTAAGTGTCGTGGGGTTAGTGGGTTTAAGTGACGTGGGGTTAGTGGGTTTAGATAACGTGGGGTTTGTGGGTTTAAGTGACGTGGGGTTAGTGGGTGTAAGTGATGTGGGGTTAGTGGGTTTAAGTGACGTGGGGTTAGTCGGTTAAAGTGACGTGGGGTTAGTGGGTTTAAGTGACGTGGGGTTAGTGGGTTTAAGTGACGTGGGGTTAGTGGGTTTAAGTGACGTGGGGTTAGTGGGTTTAAGTGACGTGGGGTTAGTGAGTTTAAGTGTCGTGGAGTTAGTGGGTTTAAGTGACGTGGGGTTAGTGGGTTTAAGTGACGTGGGGTTAGTGGGTTTAAGTGACGTGGGGTCAGTGGGTTTAAGTGTCGTGGGGTTAGTGGGTTTAAGTGACGTGGGGTTAGTGGGTTTAAGTGACATGGGGTTAGTGGGTTTAAGTGACGTGGGGTTAGTGGGCGTAAGTGACGTGAGGTTAGTGGGTTTAAGTGATGTGGGGTTAGTGGCGTTAAGTGTCGTGGGGTTATTGGGTTTAAGTGACGTGGGGTTATTGGGTTTAATTGACGTGGGGTTAGTGGGTTTAAGTGACGTGGGGTTAGTGGGTTTAAGTGACGTGGGGTTAGTGGGTTTAAGTGACGTGGGGTTAGTGGGTTTAAGTGACGTGGGGTTAGTGGGTTTAAGTGACGTGGGGTTAGTGTGTTTAAGTGTCGTGGGGTTAGTGGGTTTAAGTGACGGGGGGTTAGTGGGTTTAAGTGTCGTGGGGTTAGTGGGTTTAAGTGTCGTGGGGTTAGTGGGTTTAAGTGACGTGGGGTTAGGGGGTTTAAGTGACGTGGGGTTAGTGGGTTTAAGTGACGTGGGGTTAGTGGGTTTAAGTGACGTGAGGTTAGTGGGTTTAAGTGTCGTGGGGTTAGTGGGTTTAAGTGACGTGGGGTTAGTGGGTTTAAGTGTCGTGGGGTTAGTGGGTTTAAGTGACGTGGGGTTAGTGGGTTTAAGTGACGTGGGGTTAGTGGGTTTAAGTGACGTGGGGTTAGTGGATTTAAGTGACGTGGGGTTAGTGGGTTTAAGTGTCGTGGGGTTATTGGGTTTAAGTGTCGTGGGGTTAGTGGGTTTAAGTGACATGGGGTAAGTGGGTTTAAGTGACGTGGGGTTAGTGGGTTTAAGCGTCCTAGGGTTAGTGGGTTTAAGTGACGTGGGGTTAGTGGGTTTAAGTGTCCTAGGGTTAGTGGGTTTAAGTGTCGTGGGGTTAGTGGGTTTAAGTGACGTGGGGTTAGTGGGTTTAAGTGACGTGGGGTTAGTGGGTTTAAGTGACGTGGGGTTAGTGGGTTTAAGTGACGTGGTGTTAGTGGGTTTAAGTGACGTGGGGTTAGTGGGTTTAAGTGACGTGGGGTTAGTGGGTTTAAGTGACGTGGGGTTAGTGGGTGTAAGTGACGTGGGGTTAGTGGGTGTAAGTGATGTGGGGTTAGTGGGTTTAAGTGTCGTGGGGTTAGTGGGTTTAAGTGACGTGGGGTTAGTGGGTTTAAGTGTCATGGGGTTAGTGGGTTTAAGTGTCGTGGGGTTAGTGGGTGTAAGTGTCGTGGGGTTAGTGGGTTTAAGTGACGTGGGGTTAGTGGGTTTAAGTAACGTGGGGTTTGTGGGTTTAAGTGACGTGGGGTTAGTGGGTGTAAGTGATGTGGGGTTAGTGGGTTTAAGTGTCGTGGGGTTAGTGGGTTTAAGTGACGTGGGGTTAGTGGGTTTAAGTGACGTGGGGTTAGTCGGTTAAAGTGACGTGGGGTTAGTGGGTTTAAGTGACGTGGGGTTAGTGGGTTTAAGTGACGTGGGGTTAGTGGGTTTAAGTGACGTGGGGTTAGTGGGTTTAAGTGACGTGGGGTTAGTGGGTTTAAGTGACATGGGGTTAGTGGGTGTAAGTGACGTGAGGTTAGTGGGTTTAAGTGACGTGGGGTTAGTGGGTTTAAGTGTCGTGGGGTTATTGGTTTTAAGTGACGTGGGGTTATTGGGTTTAAGTGACGTGGGGTTAGTGGGTTTAAGTGACGTGGGGTTAGTGGGTTTAAGTGACGTGGGGTTAGTGGGTTTAAGTGTCCTGGGGTTAGTGGGTTTAAGTGACGTGGGGTTAGTGGGTTAAAGTGACGTGGGGTTAGTGGGTTTAAGTGTCGTGGGATTAGTGGGTTTAAGTGACGTAGGGTTAGTGGGTTTAAGTGACGTGGGGTTAGTGGGTTTAAGTGACGTGGGGTTAGTGGGTGTAAGTGACGTGGGGTTAGTGGGTGTAAGTGACGTGGGGTTAGTGGGTTTAAGTGACGTGGGGTTAGTGGGTTTAAGTGTCGTGGGGATAGTGGGTTTAAGTGTCCTGGGGTTAGTGGGTTTAAGTGACGTGGGGTTAGTGGGTGTTAGTGTCATGATTGATTTACGAACAGACATCTGGAACCTGACTCGTTCGTGAGTAGTCCCTGTAACAGGCGACGTTTCGGACAACAGTCCTTAGAAACCTATGGCGAGGAGTGCCAAAGACAAAGGTCCCCCAGGTAGACTAAACAGACTGTTGGGGCAAGTGCTGTTAGTAGCGAGTAGCAGCAGTGTCCATGAAGGCTACCGGCACTGTGGCACACGAGGGGGTGGGTGGCCAACACCACGCCCCCCCGCCCGGCCGCCTTTGTCTCCCCGGTGCTAGCGATATTCACTACACAACGCACCGGGTACTCGTTTGAGGCGGAGTCGACCTAGGGGAGGCCCAGGGACCGGTAGAGATCATCGCTGTCACCGGCGGTGTTGGTGGCCGTGAGCGGGGGTCGAACTCGGGTCGCCGGGTTCGTAGCACAGCGTCACGATTATCTGAACCGGTCCTGAGCCCCCCCTAGGTTGACTCAGCCTCAAACGAGTAATCTGGTGTAGCGGTGTGTAGTAAACATAGCCACTGGGGAGACAAAGGCGGCCGGGCGTGGTGCTGGCCACCCACCCACCCCCTCTGTGTGTGCCACAGTGCCGGTAGCCTTCATAGGCAGCGCTGCTACTCGCTACCAAAGGCACTTGTCCCGACTGCCCGTTAAGACTACACGGGGGATCTTTGTCTTTGTGCGTGCAGTTTTGGTGACTCATTACATCCCTTACGGCAAGCAAGCCTGAGTCGAGGCTTTTGCGAATGAAACAGATGATCTTTTGTGTGCTAATTCTGTTAACTTGACCTTTTTTTACTCACTGTTAGGGCACGTGTAGAGCGATCGTGTGTATCTTTGTGAGCCTTAACTATCGCACGTTGCTTTGTGAGTCTTAGCCTTCAGTCATTGTGTAGCACGAACCCCGAGTGTGCCTTGAGACGCAGAGCCTGCTGATCATCGCACACTACACTATACACTACTACACACCTTTACACTACTATACACTACACTATACACTACTACACACCTTTACACTACTATACACTACACTACTATACACTACACACTACTACACTATACACTACTACTATACACTACACTACTATACACTACACACTACTATACACTACACACTACTATACACTACACACTACTATACACTACACACTACTACACTACACTATACACTACAATATACACTACACTATACAATACACTACTATACACTACACTACTATACACTACACTATACACTACACTACTATACACTACACTATACACTACACACTACTATACACTACTATACACTACACTATACATTACTATACACTACACTATACACCACTATACACTACACACTGCACTTTATACTACACTACTATACACTACACTACTATACACTACACTACTATACACTACACTATACACTACTATACACTACACTACTATACCCTACACACTGCGCTTTACACTACACTACTATACACTACACAATACTATACACTATACACTACTCTACACTACACACTACACTACTCTACACTACACACTACACTACTCTACACACTACACGACACTACACACTACACTACACTACTTGTGTAGTGTATAGTGTACAAGAGTGTAGTGTATTGTAGTGTGTAGTGTGTAGAGTAGTGTAGTGTGTATAGTACACTACTATACACTACACACTGCTATACACTACACACTACACTACACTAGTAGTGTGTAGAGTAGTGTGTAGTGTACAGTAGTGTATAGTAGTGTAGTGTATAGTGTAGAGTAGTGTGTAGTGTACAGGAGTGATGTATAGTAGTGTGTCGTGTATAGTGTGTAGTAGTGTAGTGTGTAGTAGTGTAGTGTGTAGTAGTGTAGTGTGTAGTGTAGAGGTGTGTAGTAGTGTATAGTGTAGTAGTGTATAGTAGTGTAGTGTAGAGGTGTGTAGTAGTGTATACTGTAGTAGTGTATAGTGTAGTGTATAGTGTAGTAGTGTATAGTGTAGTGTATAGTGTAGTGTATAGTAGTGTAGAGGTGTGTAGTAGTGTATAGTGTAGTGTATAGTATTGTAGTGTGTAGTGTAGAGGTGTGTAGTAGGGTAGTGTGTAGTGTATAGTAGTGTAGTGTATAGTGTAGTGTATAGTGTAGTGTATAGTAGTGTATAGTGTAGTGTATAGTAGTGTAGAGGTGTGGTGTAGTGTATAGTGTAGTGTATAGTAGTGTATAGTGTAGTGTATAGTAGTGTAAAGTATAGTGTATAGTGTAGTGTATAGTAGTGTAGTGTATAGTGTAGTGTATAGCAGTGTATAGTGTAGTGTATAGTGTAGTGTAGTGTATAGTGTAGTGTATAGTAGTGTAGTGTGTAGTGTATAGTGTAGTGTATAGTGTAGTGTAGTGTATAGTGTAGTGTATAGTAGTGTATAGTGTAGTGTGTAGTAGTGTAGTGTATAGTAGTGTAGTGTATAGTGTAGTGTATAGTAGTGTATAGTGTAGTGTATAGTACAAACTTGATTTGGTGCTTTTGTGACTGCAGGAATTACTCTTTGTTTTTTTCGGTAAAGTCACGTAGAAATAAGAAATAATAATAAAATTACATAACAGCATGCGACGTTTCGATTGCAACGCAAGCGATCATCATCAGGTACAGAAGAGCTACATTTAAGAGAGAGAGGAAGCACAGAACCACCGCAGACAAAGAGAGATGGAGAAGCACATCAAATCGAACAAGATTTAGTAACATTTGGAAACAAGATAATGCAGCACAGAGGGTCGGTCAAAACACAATGAACGCATGGTCTGGCTGATTATGTTCTTTCAAAGATTGCTAAATTATGTGTCTGCCTGTCTGTCTGCCTGTCCGTCTATCTGTCTGCCTGTCTGCCCATCTGGCTGTCCATCTGCCTGTCCGTCTGCCTGTCTGTCCGTCCGTCTGCCTGTCTGCCTGCCTGTCTATCTGTCCGTCTGTCTGCCCGTCTGTCTGTCTGTCTGTCCATCTGCCTGCCCGTCTGCCTGCCCGTCTGCCTGTCTGTCTGCCTGTCTGTCTGCCTGTCTGTCTGCCTGTCTGTCTGCCTGTCTGTCTGCCTGTCCGTCTGCCCGTCCGTCCGTCTCCTCCCGCGCAGCCGACAGAAAATCTGGCCCCGACTTCACCGCAGCTCCCCTCTTCATCCTTCTCCTCCTCGATGGATCCCGGAGAATCCAGAGAGGTCCCTCCTCCTCTTCCTCCTCCTCCTCCTCATCACCATCCTCCGTCGCCGCCGTCTTCGCCCTCGCCCTCGTCCTCGTCGTCGTCGTCGTCGTCCGAAGCGGCCACCGCCCCGGCCGCGGCTCAGCTCCGCAAGAAGAGCGGCTTCCAGATCACCAGCGTGGTGGTGCCACGGCCCGCGTCGTGCGCCAGCGTCGCCGACGACTCGGAGGGTGGCGAGGAGGCGGAGGTGGAGGCGGCCACCGCCTCCTCCTCCTCCGCCGCCTCCTCCTCGGCGGCGGCGTCCGTGGCGGCGCCCGCGGGGCCCGCGGCCGCGTTGCCGCGGGCCCAGGGGGAGGAGGAGGAGGAGCGCCATGGAGAGTCACCGATGCCGGATCCTCGGCAGCTGCAGCAGCTTCAGCAGTACGACAGCAGCAGTGAGTGCCAGCAGCAGCAGCAGCAGTTGCAGCATCAGCATCAACAAAATCAGCAGCACCAATACAGTAGTGGCAGTGAGTGCCAACAGCAGCAGGAACAGCAGCAGCACCAACAGCAGCAGCTGCAGCAGCAGCTGCAACAGCAGCAGGAACAGCAGCAGCTGCAGCAGCAGCACCAACAGCAGCAGCTGCAGCAGCAGCAGCAGAGTCATCTGGACAACAACAACCACCAGCAGCAGCAGCAGCAGCAGTGGGCCCCGGAACGTTCACTCGTACAACCACCGCAACCACCGCAACCACCGCAGCCATCGGCAGCGTTTACAAACGGTACTGCTGCTGCGTCTGCTGCTGCTGCTGCAACAACCACAACCACCACAACCGCCACCACCGCCACCACCGCCGCTGCCGCCACCGCCGGCTGTGCCACAGCGGCGTCTCCACGTTCCACGCCCACCACCGACGCCTCCTCCTCCTCGTCCACCGCCGCCGCCGCCGCTGGAGAAGCGTGCGGTGGTGGTGGTGGTGGTGGTGGCGGCGGCGGCGGCGACGGGCGCAGAAGTTCCGTCGGTAGCGCGCAACTCGCCCCGGTGACAACGCCGGCGGCACGGGGAGACGTCCAGCCGTGCGCGGAACGCTGCGACGGTTGCTGGCAACCGGCCGCGGCGACGGTCGCCGCGGCGACGGTCGCCGCGCCGACGGTCGCCACGCCGACGGTCGCCACGGCGACGGTCGCCGCGCCGACGGCGCAGAACCCGTCGCGGTTCCGCGTGGTCAAGCTGGACTCGGAGCACATCGTCCCGTACCGGCGAGGACGCTGGACCTGCTCGGACTTTCACGAAAGGGATCCGTCCCTGTACCACCACCACCACCACTATCAGCACCACCACCTCCTGCACCAGCAGAATCACCAGCAGCAGCAGCAGCAGTTTCAACAGCTGCAGAACAGTCTTCATCTCCATCACCAGCAGCAGCAGCAGCAGCATCATCACGGCACCGTGGCCAATCACATCAGCATCATCGACTGCGACGTCGCTGCCTTCCGCCGCCTGTCTTTGCCCACCGAGACGGAGATATCGCTGGCACAGGTGCACCACCTGCAGCAGCAGCAGCTGCAGCAGCACCTGCAGCAGCAGCAGGAGTTGTTGCTGCAGCAGCAGCAGCAACAGGAGCAGCAGCAGCAGAGTGACGGACAGGTGGACGGGTTGAGTCAGAGCCCGCCGTTGGACGGGGAAGATGAGAGGTGAGGGGTCAAGCAGTTGTTGTGTCTGTGTGTGTGTGTCTGTCTGTGTGTTTGTCTGTCTGTGTGTGTGTGTCTGTGTTGTGTGGCAAAACAACCCCCTACCTCCTCGCGGTGCCGGACGGGCAACTCTGTCGTGGACAGTGCTGTGGGGGGAGATCCAATTTTGATTGGCTCCTCCCCTCATGGCATATATGTCCACCACAGGGGCTAAACGGGGGCTCTGGACGGGTGCGAGGGGCTGGTAACCCCTTCACCTTCAATTAATTACCACGAAACCACGAATTAAACTGAAATATGTAACTAATAAGCTTGTGCCGGAGGCCCCGGGGGGCCAGGCGTCTATGACGTCTCCTGGCCAAACCCCAATTGGCGGAGCCAGGAGATTGAATATCTACCCTCGGGGCTACTCCAGAAACAACGAAAAGCCACTACGGGTGGCCACGTGGAATGTTCGAACGCTCACTGCAGAGGAGAGGCTGCCACTCCTCTGTCGGGAGCTGGACCGGTACCGCCTGGATCTATGCGGCATTCAGGAGGTCCGGTGGACCGGCTCTGGCTCCTGCCACCATGAGGGGTGGATAGTTCTCTACTCGGGGCAGCAGACTGCCAAACAACAGGGTGTGGGTCTTCTTTTGAACAAAAGAATGAAGGGGGCGTGGGAGCGTGGCGGTGAGGTGTGGGAAGCTGTAAGCCCCAGGCTACTTTGGGCTCGCCTTCCCATCAACCGGAGGCGAGGAATGGTGGTCGTGGTTACTTATGCCCCCACCGAAGATGAACATCCGTGGAGGGATGCAGGCAAAGCCGATGAGTCAGATGCCTTCTATGACCTCCTGTCACAGGTGCTGGCTAAAGTGGCCCCTCGGAATAGAGTCATCATGTTGGGTGACTTCAATGCCCGAGTTGGTCATGATACTGGCACCTGGTCTGGAGTGATTGGAGGGCATGGGCCAGATCAGCTCAATAACAACGGTAGGAGGCTGCTAGATTTTTGTGCAGCCCATGGGCTTGTAATTACCAACACGCTGTTCCGGCATCGGCGCATCCACACAACATCATGGATGCATGCCGGGTCCAAGCAAGAACATCTGCTGGACTACATAGTGACGGACCAGCGAATGCGAGCCCATGTCCTTGACACCAGGACCTACCGTGGAGCTGATCTGCCCTCTGACCATCGACTAGTCATCTGTAAGATGCGCCTGCCATTCTTCCACTCCGGTGGTGGGTGTACACCCAGGACCCCATTCCAACCTAAAGTGGCCTGGTCTCAGTTATCTGATGAAAGTTGCAAGCGAGAATTTCATCATCGCTTGCGGCTGGGACTGTGACTCATGCAGCTGCAATGGCTGCTTTGGGTACGCGGTCCAGACCTCCCCAGAGACCCTGGCTGACAGAGGAGGTGTTCAGGATGGTTGAGAAAAAGCGACAGGCCCACTGTCATCGGCTACAGAATCCCACGTCAGAGAATGAGGAGGCTTACCGCAGCCTTCGCTCGGAGGTTCGGAGAGCCGTGAGGCGCTGCAAGGATGGGTGGTGGTCGCGGGTTGCTGAGGAGATGGAGTCTGCCTCAGTGGCCCGTGATCACAAATCTCTATTTAACTCCATCAAAAAAGTAACCTGCAGCGCCACACCTATTACCATCATTAGGGGAAAAAACGGTGATCCAATCTCCGACCCCCAGGAACAGGTTCGCAGATTTGCTGAGCATTTCTGTGAGGTCCTGGGGGAGGGAAAATCCCTTAGCCAGGAAAACATCGTGGCACAAAGTGAGGATGACCCTGCTGAGGCTGCGGTGCCTCAAATATTGTAAGAAGTCACCCCCTGTGAGTGGCTGGCTGAGGTGCCATCTGCTGAGGAAGTATTGAAGGCGATCCGGAGTCTGAGACCAGGAAAGGCAGCGGGCAGAGATGATCTCCCAAGCGAAATGCTGAAGGAGGGTGGCGTTTGTGCACAGACTGCCCTATATGACATCATAACAACAGTCTGGACCACTGGACGGGTTCCGCAGGATTGGAAGGATGCCCTGGTGGTCCCCCTTTTTAAGAAGGGGGACCGCACAGACTGTAACAACTACAGGGGCATCTCACTCCTCGGTGTGCCGGGAAGGGTCCTGGCAAGGATTATTCAGCATCGCCTTGCCAGGCACGCTGAGGAGAGGCTTGCGGAGCCCCAATGCGGTTTCAGGAAAGGGCAGTCCTGCACAGATGCCATATTTTCTGTCCGTCTGCTACAGCAGAGGTGTAGGGAATTCCAACAAGACCTACATCTCTGCTTTATTGACCTGGTCAAGGCCTATGATACCATCTGTAGGCCTGGGCTCTGGGTCGTTCTTCGAGCTTTTGGAGTACCTGACCCTCTGCTCACGATCATTAAGGACCTTCATGATGGTGAGCGGGCCCGGGTAAGACTACGTGGCCGGGAGTCAGAGCCATTCCCTGTACACCTTGGGGTGCGACAGGGATGTCCTCTGGCTCCCACATTATTTAACATCTATTTTGACCACGTAGTTCGTGAAGCCTTCAATAGCTGTACCGGGGGAATCTCCATATGGTACAGATCTAATGGGAGGCTAATCGATGCCCGGGTGCGGTCAAGGGATGGCTCCCTATTGCTCAACCACGTTATGTATGCTGATGATTTGGTAATAGCTGCTCAGTCAGAGGAGGAGTTGGAGACGCTGCTGCTGAGACTGGAGCGTGCCACTAAGAGGTGGGGCCTTACCATCAGCCCCACCAAAACTAAGCACCTGCCTGGGTATTTTGTACCATCGGACACTCCACCCCCACAACTCCCAATCGGTGATGGGGCAGTTGTGGAGAGAGTGGAGAGTTTCCCATACCTGGGCAGTGTGCTTATGACTGGCTCCAGTTTAATAGCAGAGGTCTCACTCCGAATCAGTCGAGCGGCAATATCTTTTCATCGGTTGCGTAACGCTGTGTGGAAGCTACCTTGTCTGTCGCTCCGCACTAAGCTTCAGGTCTTCTCGGCCACGGTCATTCCCTCCCTTCTCTACGCTTGCGAAATGTGGACCCCCCTAATGGAACATCTTCGCCGGTTAGAAACATTTAGGCTGGCCTGCCTACGATCCATCCTGGGTTTAACCAGACTGGATTGTGTGAGGAGCTCACAAATCCTTGAAAGATCTGGGCAGGGTCCCATCGGTGAGCTCCTCTGGCAGGCAAGGCTGCGATGGCTGGGTCATGTAGCCCGCATGCCCAGCCACCGCATGCCGAAACAGCTTTTGTTTGGCCGGATTGAGGGGGCTAAGCGGGCGCGGCACGGGCTAGAGAAGAGATGGAGTGATGTGGTACAGGAGGACGTGGAGCTGAGTGGACTTGCCGATGACTGGTACCAGCGGTGTCAAGATCGGCCTCTGTGGAGGAGGCTCGTGAAGGATGCTACTGGGCAGTTGGAGGCAGTCGCCCTCCAACAACAACGGAGGGCGGAGGAGCGACGCTCACAACAACGAGCGGAGCGCCGGGTGGCTAAAGCACAGCAGGTTGGCACAGTAGGGGGCACAGGTGGTGCACAGCCAGTCATCTCAGTCAGTCGACCCGTGGCACCTGGGTCTGCCCAGTGACCTCCTGCCAGCGGGCGTTCGACACTTCACGTGGCCTCACGGTGCACATAGCCTGGCACAAGCGTCGTGGTGACGTCACCGCCACTTAGTGACGAACGGCGGTTGTTGTTGTTGTTGTGTGTCTGTGTGTCTGTCTGTCTGTGTGTGTGTCTCTCTGTATGTCTGTGTGTGTGTCTGTCTGTCTGTGTGTGTGTGTCTGTCTGTGTGTGTGTGTCTGTCTGTGTGTGTCTGTCTGTGTGTCTGTCTGTGTGTGTGTGTGTCTGTGTGTGTGTTAGTGTCTGTGTGTGTGTCTCTCTGTATGTCTGTGTGTGTGTCTGTCTGTCTGTGTGTGTGTGTCTGTCTGTGTGTGTGTGTGTCTGTCTGTGTGTGTGTGTCTTTCTGTCTGTGTGTGTGTGTCTGTCTGTTCCGGCTGTGTGTGTGTCTGTCTGTTCCGGCATCGGCGCATCCACACAACATCATGGATGCATGCTGGGTCCAAGCAAGAACATCTGCGGGACTACATAGTGACGGACCAGCGGATGCGAGCCCATGTCCTTGACACCAGGACATACCGTCGAGCTGATCTGCCCTCTGACCATCGACTAGTCATCTCTAAGATGCGCCTGCCATTCTTCCACTCCGGTGGTGGGTGTACACCCAGGACCCGATTCCGACCTAAAGTGGCCTGGTCTCAGTTATCTGATGAAAGTTGCAAGCGAGAATTTCATCATCGCTTGCGGCTGGGATTGGCATGGTCCCCGACTCCTCCTGATGTCGAGGGTAAATGGGCGAGGTTTAGGACTGTGACTCATGCAGCTGCAATGGCTGCTTTGGGTACACGGTCCAGACCTCCCCAGAGACCCTGGCTGACAGAGGAGGTGTTCAGGATGGTTGAGAAAAAGCGACAGGCCCACTGTCATCGGCTACAGAATCCCACGTCAGAGAATGAGGAGGCTTACCGCAGCCTTCGCTCGGAAGTTCGGAGAGCCGTGAGGCGCTGCAAGGATGGGTGGTGGTCGCGGGTTGCTGAGGAGATGGAGTCTGCCTCAGTGGCCCGTGATCACAAATCTCTATTTAACTCCATCAAAAAAGTAACCTGCAGCGCCACACCTATTACCATCATTAGGGGAAAAAACGGTGATCCAATCTCCGACCCCCATGAACAGGTTTGCAGATTTGCTGAGCATTTCTGTGAGGTCCTGGGGGAGGGAAAATCCCTCAGCCAGGAAAACATCGTGGCACAAAGTGAGGGTGACCCTGCTGAGGCTGCGGTGCCTCAAATATTGTAAGAAGTCACCCCCTGTGAGTGGCTGGCTGAGGTGCCATCTGTTGAGGAAGTACTGAAGGCGATCCGGAGTCTGAGACCAGGAAAGGCAGCGGGCAGAGATGATCTCCCAAGCGAAATGCTGAGGGAGGGTGGCGTTTGTGCACAGACTGCCTTATATGACATCATAACAACAGTCTGGACCACTGGACGGGTTCTGCAGGATTGGAAGGATGCCCTGGTGGTCCCCCTGTGCGGTCCCCCTTTGAAGAAGGGGGACCGCACAGACTGTAACAACTACAGGGGCATCTCACTCCTCAGTGTGCCGGGAAAGGTCCTGGCAAGGATTATTCAGCATCGCCTTGCCAGGCACGCTGAGGAGAGGCTTGCGGAGCCCCAATGCGGTTTCAGGAAAGGGCGGTCCTGCACAGATGCCATATTTTCTGTCCGTCTGCTACAGCAGAGGTGTAGGGAATTCCAACAAGACCTACATCTCTGCTTTATTGACCTGGTCAAGGCCTATGATACCATCAGTAGGCCTGGGCTCTGGGTCGTTCTTCGTGCTTTTTGAGTACCTGACCCTCTGCTCACGATCATTAAGGACCTTCATGATGGTGAGCGGGCCCGGGTAAAACTACGTGGCCGGGAGTCAGAGCCATTCCCTGTACACCTGGGGGTGCGACAGGGATGTTCTCTGGCTCCCACATTATTTAACATCTATTTCGACCACGTAGTTCGTGAAGCCTTCAATAGCTGTACCGGGGGAATCTCCATATGGTACAGATATAATGGGAGGCTGATCGATGCCCGGGTGCGGTCAAGGGATGGCTCCCTATTGCTCAACCACGTTATGTATGCTGATGATTTGGTCATAGCTGCTCAGTCACAGGAGGAGTTGGAGACGCTGCTGCTGAGACTGGAGCGTGCCACTAAGAGGTGGGGCCTTACCATCAGCCCCACCAAAACTAAGCACCTGCCTGGGTATTTTGTACCATCGGACACTCCACCCCCACAACTCCCAATCGGTGATGGGGCAGTTGTGGAGAGAGTGGAGCGTTTCCCATACCTGGGCAGTGTGCTTATGACTGGCTCTAGTTTAACAGCAGAGGCCTCACTCCGAAACAGTCGAGCGGCAATATATTTTCATCGGTTGCGTAACGCTGTGTGGAAGCTACCTGGTCTGTCGCTCCGCACTAAGCTTCAGGTCTTCTCGGCCACGGTCATTCCCTCCCTTCTCTACGCTTGCGACACGTGGACCCCCCTAATGGAACATCTTCGCCGGTTAGAAACATTTAGGCTGGCCTGCCTACGATCCATCCTGGGTTTAACCAGACTGGATTGTGTGAGGAGCTCACAAATCCTTGAAAGATCTGGGCAGGGTCCCATCGGTGAGCTCCTCCGGCGGGCAAGGCTGCGATGGCTGGGTCATGTAGCCCGCATGCCCAGCCACCGCATGCCGAAACAGCTTTTGTTCGGCCGGATTGAGGGGGCTAAGCGGGCGCGGCACGGGCTAGAGAAGAGATGGAGTGATGTGGTACAGGAGGACGTGGAGCTGAGTGGACTTGCCGATGACTGGTACCAGCGGTGTCAAGGTCGGCCTCTGTGGAGGAGGCTCATGAAGGATGCTACTGGGCAGTTGGAGGTAGTCGCCCTCCAACAACAACGGAGGTCGGAGGAGCGACGCTCACAACATCGAGCGGAGCGCCGGGTGGCTAGAGCACAGCAGGTTGGCACAGTAGGGGGCACAGGTGGTGCATCAGCCAGTCATCTCAGTCAGTCGACCCGTGGCACCTGGGTCTGCCCCGTGACCTCCTGCCAGCGGGCGTTCGACACTTCACGTGGCCTCAGGGTGCACATAGCCTGGCACAAGCGTCGTGGTGACGTCACCACCACTTAGTGGCGAATGGCGGTTGTTGTTGTTGTTGTTGTGTGTCGGTGTGTGTTTGACCTGGTCAAGGCCTATGATACCATCAGTAGGCCTGGGCTCTGGGTTGTTCTTCGTGCTTTCGGAGTCCCTGACCCTCTGCTCACGATCATTAAGGACCTTCATGATGGTGAGCGGGCCCGGGTAAAACTACGTGGCCGGGAGTCAGAGCCATTCCCTGTACACCTTGGGGTGCGACAGGGATGTCCTCTGGCTCCCACATTATTTAACATCTATTTTGACCACGTAGTTCGTGAAGCCTTCAATAGCTGTACCGGGGGAATCTCCATCTGGTACAGATATAATGGGAGGCTGATCGATGCCCGGGTGCGGTCAAGGGATATCTCCCTATTGCTCAACCACGTTATGTATGCCGATGATTTGGTAATAGCTGCTCATTCAGAGGAGGAGTTGGAGACGCTGCTGCTGAGACTGGAGCGTGCCACTAAGAGATGGGGCCTTACCATCAGCCCCACCAAAACTAAGCACCTGCCTGGGTATTTTGTACCATCGGACACTCCACCCCCACATCTCCCAATCGGTGATGGGGCAGTTGTGGAGAGAGTGGAGAGTTTCCCATACCTGGGCAGTGTGCTTATGACTGGCTCCAGTTTAACAGCAGAGGTCTCACTCCGAATCAGTCGAGCGGCAATATCTTTTCATCGGTTGCGTAACGCTGTGTGGAAGCTACCTGGTCTGTCGCTTCACACTAAATGCACCTAGCCTGGCACAGCAGCAGTCAACCCGTGACACCTGCAGGGTCTGTCACGTGACCACCTCTTCGTGCACCTAGCCTGGCACAGCAGCGGTCAACCCACGGCACCTGGGACTGTCCCGTGACCTCGGAGTGCACCGAGCCTGGCACGAGCGTTGTCGGTGCCGTTGTTGTGCGGTGCCGGAGCGGTGGTGCAGCGGTTAGCGCTACGCTGCACTACAAACTCCGGCAGAGAGCCGAGTTTGATTCCCGCTCACGGCCACCAACACCACCGGTGACGATTATCTGAACCGGTCCTGGGCCTCTCCTGGGTCGACTCAGCCTCAAATGAGTACCTGGTGTAGCGGTGTGTAGTGAACATCGCTAGCACTGGGGAGACAAAGGCGGCCGGGCGTGGTGCTGGCCACCCACTCCCTCATGTGCCACAGTGCCGGTAGCCTTCACAGGTGCTGCTCGCTAACAGCACTTGCCCCTACAGCCTGTTAGAGGCTACACGGGGGATCTTTATCTGTGTATAGGTGCTGCTACTCGCTACTAACAGCACTTGCCCCTACAGTCTGTTAGAGGTTACACGGGGGATCTTTGTTTTTTATAGGGTATATATATGTGTGTGTGTATATATAGGGTATGTGTATGTGTGTAGGGTGTATGTATATAGATGTGTCTGTATGTGTGTAAGGGATCACCGATTGGCCACGGAAAGGGGCGGTTGTTGCTATTCCCACCACGGCCACACCCCCAGCCTCCTGCAGACACTGAGCTTGACCACCTGGGTTCGAGCCCTGGGTCTCTGTCTATCAGGGGGTTCACAACGCCCGTGTCCAGGTCACTGAGATTGACATCCTGGGTTCGAGCCCTGGGTCTGGGTCTAACAGGGGGTTCACAACGCCCGTGTCCCAGTCACTGAGATTGAGGCCTGGGTTCGAGCCCTGGGTCTGGGTCTCTGTGTATCAGGGGGTTCACAACGCCCGTGTCCCAGTCACTGAGCTTGAGACCTGGGTTCGAGCCCTGGGTCTGGGTCTCTGTCTATCAGGGGGTTCACAATGCCCGTGTCCAACACACTGAGATTGAGGCCTGGGTTCGAGCCCTGGATCTGGGTCTCTGTCTATCAGGGGGTCCAGGTCACTGAGGCCTGGGTTCCAGCCCTGGGTCTGGGTCTCTGTCTATCAGGGGGTTCACAACGGCCATGTGCAGGTCACTGAGCTTGAGACCTGGGTTCGAGCCCTGGGTCTGAGTCTCTGTCAGGGGGTTCACAACGCCCGTGTCCCAGTCACTGAGCTTGACGTCCTGGGTTCGAGCCCTGGGTCTGGGTCTCTGTGTATCAGTGGGTCCAGGTCACTGAGACCTGGGTTCGAGCCCTGGGTCTGGGTCTATCAGGGGGTTCACAACGGCCGTGTCCCAGTCACTGAGCTTGAGACCTGGGTTCGAGCCCTGGGTCTGGGTCTCTGTGTATCAAGGGGTTCACAATGCCCGTGTCCCAGTCACTGAGCTTGACATCCTGGGTTCGAGCCCTGGGTCTGGGTCTCTGTGTATCAGGGGGTTCACAATGCCCGTGTCCAACACACTGAGATTGAGGCCTGGGTTCGAGCCCTGGGTCTGGGTCTCTGTGTATCAGGGGGTTCACAATGCCCGTGTCCCAGTCACTGAGCTTGAAACCTGGGTTCGAGCCCTGGGTCTGGGTCTCTGTCTATCAGGGGGTTCACAATGCCCGTGTCCAACACACTGAGATTGAGGCCTGGGTTCGAGCCCTGGGTCTGGGTCTCTGTGTATCAGGGGGTTCACAACGCCCGTGTCCAGGTCACTGAGGCCTGGGTTCGAGCCCTGGGTCTGGGTCTCTGTCTGTCAGGGGGTTCACAACGGCCGTGTCCCAGTCACTGAGATTGACCACCTGGGTTTGAGCCCCCGTGTAGTCTGTAAGAGACTGCATACCAGGCGAGGTAGTTAACATCTCGTAGGCACCGTGGTTGAGAGAGGGGGGGGTTGTCTCTGTGTGTGGTGTCTCGTGCAGTGCCTCTGGTGTCAGCGTGGTGGCCATCGACAACAAGATTGAGCAGGCGATGGTGAGGAGCGGTCACCACACTAGCAACATTCACCACGCTCACCACGCTCACCACACTAGCAACATTCACCACGCTCACCACGCTCACCACACTAGCAACATTCACCACGCTCACCACGCTCACCACGCTCACCACACTAGCAACATTCACCACGCTCACCATGCTCACCACGCTCACCACACTAGCAACATTCACCACACTCACCACGCTCGCCACACTAGCAACATTCACCACGCTCACCACGCTCACCACGCTCACCACACTAGCAACATTCACCACGCTCACCACACTAGCAACATTCACCACGCTCACCACGCTCACCACACTAGCAACATTCACCACGCTCACCACGCTCACCACGCTCACCACACTAGCAACATTCACCACGCTCACCACGCTCACCACACTAGCAACATTCACCACGCTCACCACGCTCACCACACTAGCAACATTCACCACACTCACCACACTAGCAACATTCACCGCACTCACCACACTCACCACATTAGCAACATTCACCACGCTCACCACGGTAGCAACATTCACCACACTCACCACGCTCACCACACTAGCAACATTTACCACACTCACCACGCTCACCACACTCACCACACTAGCAACACTTACCACACTCACCACACTCACCACGCTCACCACACTAGCAACATTCACCACGCTCACCACACTCACCACGCTCACCACACTCACCACGCTCACCACGCTCACCACACTAGCAACATTCACCACGCTCACCACACTCACCACGCTCACCACACTCACCACGCTCACCACGCTCACCACACTAGCAACATTCACCACGCTCACCACACTCACCACGCTCACCACACTCACCACACTTACCACACTAGCAACATTCACCACTCTCACCACACTCACCACACTCACCACGCTCACCGCAATACCCACACTAACCACACTAGCAACATTCACCATACTCACCATACTAACCACACTCACCACGCTCACCACACTCGCCACATTCACCACGCTCACCACACTCACCGCAATACCCACACATTGACCACATTTACCACATTTACCACACTCACCACGCTCACCACATTCGCCACACTAACCACACTCACCACGCTCACCGCACTAACCACACTAGCGACACTGACCACATTTACAACACTCACTACACTAACCACACTAACCACACTCACCACACTAACCACACTAACCACACTCACCACGCTCACCGCAATACCCACACTAACTACACTAGCGACATTTTCCACATTTACCACACTCACCACGCTAACCACACTAACCACACTCACCACGCTCACCGCAATACCCACACTAACCACACTAGCGACATTTACCACATTTACCACACTCACCACGCTAACCACACTAACCACATTCACCACACTAGTGACATTGACCACATTCACCACACTCACCATGCTAACCACACTAACCACATTAGTTAGTCTGGGAAATGCAACTCTATGGGCAATGCAATTCTATGGACGATGTTAGTCTATGGGCAATGTTAGTCTATGAGCAATGTTAGTCTATGGGTAATGTTAGTCTATGGACAATGTAAGTCTATGGGTAATGGTAGTCTATGGGCAATGTTAGTCTATGGGCAATGTTAATCTATGGGCAATGTTAGTCTATGGGCAATGTTAGTCTATGGGCAATGTTAGTCTATGGGTAATCTTAGTCTATGGGCAATGTTAGTCTATGGGCAGTGTTAGTCTATGGACAGTGTTAGTCTATGGGTAATGTTAGTCTATGGGTAATGTTAGTCTATGGGCAATGTTAGTCTATGGGCAATGTTAGTCTATGGGCAATGTTAGTCTATGGGTAATGTTAGTCTATGGGCAATGTTAGTCTATGGGTAATGTTAGTCTATGGGCAATGTTAGTCTATGGGCAATGTTAGTCTATGGGCAATGTTAGTCTATGGTCAATGTTAGTCTATGGGCAATGTTAGTCTATGGGTAATCTTCTTTGGTTCTTTCGGTAAAGTCACGTAGAATGAGAATAAAATAATACATTGATAAAATAAAATAACACAATCAAATTCTCACGATGTTTCGGCCACAACACAAGCGGCCTTCATCAGGTGAAGGGACGAGACTGTTTGGAGGACAGCGCTGGAGCGAACAAAGCCACGCTCAGATCACGACCTTTAAGCTGTGTGAGAAGAAACAAAGCGCCTTGACAAAGGAATTAGCATAGAATTTAGCATTGAAATAGCTGAGTGATTAGCTTGTGACTGGTCACAGAAATGGCTATGTTAAAGTCAAAGCATACACATTCACAGAGGCACCTAGTGCAAATCAAACAGGAGAATTTAGCATTGAAATAACTAGGAGAATTTAGCATTGAAATAACTGAGTGATTAGCTTGTGACTGGTCACAGAAATGGCTATGTTAAAGTCAAAGCCTACACATCTGAGCTATTCACAGTAACTGGGTATACACTACACTATATAATGAATACTATATAGTAAACCAATAAAAAACTAAAATATAAATTACCTCACTGTTATCAATAAAATCTATATATTCTCCAATCAGCTAAGCTACCAACAATAAGTCGTTATATATCACAATGCTATATGGCGAAAAAATGGGTGGATTCTTACCCTCATCGTCTCTACTATCAACTCCCCCACCTGTAAACTGGCACGTTTTCTTGCTGATATACTGCGACCTTTCACTGGAAAAACCACCTCTGCGGTACTAAATTCTACTCACCTGGTATCGACAATCAAAGGCATTTCCCTGTCCCCAGACGACCTGCTTGTCAGTTTTGATGTGGTGTCCTTGTTCACCAAAGTCCCGATACCTGACACCATCGCTATCATTGAAGACCTGGTTCATCAAGGACTGCATACTGATGTACCCCCCCTGGTGAGACATTGCTTAACCAATACATACTTCACCTGGAATGGAACTTTCTACAAACAAACTGAGGGCACCCCAATGGGCTCCCCCCTATCTCCGGTTGTAGCCAACGTATTCATGGAAAAATTTGAAACTGACGCAATCCAGACTGCCACTCTACGCCCGACCTTATGGAAGAGGTACGTGGATGACACTTTTGTCATCTGGCCACATGGCCAGCCTGCTCTAGACCAATTCCGCGACCACATCAATTCCATACACCCAGCCATCAGATTTACCATGGAGGTCGAAAAAGATGGCAAACTACCCTTTTTGGATGTCTTAATTAAAAGGAGACATGATGGTTCAATGAGCCACTCTGTCTACAGGAAAGCTACCCATACAGATGCGTACTTGAAACCGGATTCCCACCACCATCCATCCCAGAAGAACTCCCTCATCAAGACCCTATACCATAGAGCCCAATGCATTTCCGACCAGGAACACATTACCAGTGAACTCAAGCACGTACACCAGGCTCTCAGGGCTAATGGTTACTCCGACTACACAATCCGCAAAGCCATCACTCCATTCATGAAGAAGGATCCTCTTGTGGAGCCACTCAAAACCATCACCTTACCCTACATTGCAGGGGTCACTAAAAAGATCTCCAAAATCCTGAATAAACACAAGATCCAGGTCCGATTCAACACTACATAAAATCCGTGATCTGGTTCCATCTGTAAAAGATGCTGTTCCAGACATACAGTACCCGGGCGTTTACAAACTAAAGTGCCTCTGTGGTAGTAGCTACATTGGAGAAACCAAACGACATATCTCAGACCGCATCCGCGAACATAAAGCAGACTTGAAACACGGTAGAATGAACTCCTCTGCCGTGGCAGATCACTGTTATAATTCAGTGGGCTCACATGACATTGACTTCTCCAAGACGGAGGTTCTTTGCAAACCAACCGGCTACCATGAGAGATTTGTTCATGAGGCCATTCACATATACAAGCACAGAGACAATTTCAACCGAGAAGATGTATTCTGGCTTAGTAACCATTGGAAAGATGTTTTAAACTATTTCCGTTCTTAATTAATTGTATTTTACGATGACCTTGAGACCGCAGCTCTTTCGCTGGCATTGACTCTTAATACCTCTCACACCACGGTTAATGGTATGGTTTACAACATGGAGTATAACAGCGCCTCGCAGCTGTCTCTCTCCCCCTCCTCCGTTCCGACCATGGATGAACTCGTCCGTCTGAACGGGGCTCGTAGCTATCCGTGGTGCTAAAGTTGAGGGTAAGAATCCACCCATTTTTTCGCCATATAGCATTGTGATATATAACGACTTATTGTTGGTAGCGTAGCTGATTGGAGAATATATAGAGTTTATTGATAACATTGAGGTAATTTATATTTTAGTTTTTTATTGGTTTACTATATAGTATTCATTATATAGTGTAGTGTATACCCAGTTACTGTGAATAGCTCAGATGTGTAGGCTTTAACTTTAACATAGCCATTTCTGTGACCAGTCACAAGCTAATCACTCACTTATCTCAATGCTAAATTATCCTAGTTATTTAAATGCTAAATTCTCCTGTTTGATTTGTACTAGGTGCCTCTGTGAATGTGTATGCTTTGACTTTAACATAGCCATTTCTGTGACCAGTCACAAGCTAATCACTCAGCTATTTCAATGCTAAATTCTATGCTAATTCCTTTGTCAAGGGGTGCCTCTGTGGATGTGTATGCTTTAACTTTAACATAGCCATTTCTGTGACCAGTCACAAGCTAATCACTCAGCCATTTCAATGCTAAATTATATGCTAATTCCTTTGTCAAGGCACTTTGTTTCTTCTCACACAGCTTAAAGGTCGCGATCTGAGCGTGGCTTGGTTCGCTCCAGCGCTGTCCTACCAGACAGTCTCGTCCTTTCACCTGATGAAGGCCGCTTGTGTTGTGGCCGAAACGTCGTGAGAATTTTATTGTGTTATTTTATTTTATCAATTTATTATTTTATTCTCATTCTACGTGACTTTACCGAAAGAACCATAGAAGATGAATCCTTGCAGTCACGAAAGCTTTAAATCGAAATCTATGGGTAATGTTAGTCTATGGGTAATGTTAGCCTATGGGTAATGTTAGTCTATGGGTAATGTTAGTCTATGGGCAATGTTAGTCTATGGGCAATGTAGATCTATGAGTAATGTTAGTCTATGGGCAATGTAGTCTATGGGCTATGTGAGTCTATGGGCAATGTTAGTCTATGGGCAATGTTAGTCTATGGGCAATGTTAGTCTATGGGCAATGTAACTCTATGGGTAATGTTAGTCTATGGGTAATGTAACTCTGTGGGCAATGTTAGTCTATGAGTAATGTTATTCTTAGCTCTTTCGGTAAAGTCACGTTGAAGGGAAACAATAAAATAATTAAATACATAAAAAACAATAAAAATTCTCACGACGTTTCAACCATAACACAAACGATCGTCATCAGGTGTGTCGGTTTTGCATTAATTAATTAATTTTTAAACGGTGTATTCATTTATTTATAAAAAAACGTCAGCGCCACGCCCAGAGATTTGGCAGTTTATTTAGAAGGACTTGTCCATCTATGTTCTGAAAAGAGGAGGGGGGAGACGAAAAATTAATGCATGCTGTCTGAAAGCCACTGTAAGCGCGAACAATCAATTAAGACCTGAAATGGTTAATCAAATCTTTCCAATGATTGCTAAGCCAGAATCCATCTTCTCGGTTGGAATTGTCTCTGTGCTTGTATATGTGGATAGCCTCATGAACGAATCTCTCATGGTAGCCGGATGGCTTACAAAGAACCTCTGTCTTGGAAAAGTCAATGTCATGTGAGCCTACTGAATTATAACAATGATCTGCCACGGCCGAGGTGTTGGTCCTACCGTGTTTAAGGTCTGCTTTGTGTTCACGAATGCGGTCCGAGACATGGCGTTTGATTTCTCCAATGTAACTATTACCAAAGAGGCAACTGAGTTTGTAGACACCAGGATACTGTATGTCCGGAATCACATCTTTTACAGACGGAACCAGATCACGGATTTTATGTAATGTGTTGAAACGGACCTGGATCTTGTGTTTATTCAAGATTTTGGAGATTTTTTTTGTGATCCCCGCAATGTAGGGTAAAGTGATGGTTTTGAAAGGCTCCTCAAGAGGGTCCTTCTTCATGGTTTGAGTGATAGCTTTGCGGATTGTATAGTCGGAATAACCATTAGCCTTAAGAGCTTGGTGTACGTGCTTGAGTTCACTGCCTATGTGTTCCTGGTCGGATATGCATTGGGCTCTATGGTACAGAGTCTTGATAAGAGAATTCTTCTGTGATGGATGGTGGTGGGAATCCGGTTTCAGATAAGCATTCGTATGGGTAGCTTTCCTGTAGACAGAGTGGCTCATTGAACCATCAGGTCAGAGACAATTCCAACCGAGAAGATGGATTCTGGCTTAGCAATCATTGGAAAGATTTGATTAACCATTTCAGGTCTTAATTGATTGTTCACGCTTACAGTGGCTTTCAGACAGCATACATTAAATTTTTCATCTCGCCCCTCCTCTTTTCAGAACATAGATGGACAAGTCCTTCTAAATAAACTGACAAATCGCTGTGCATGGCGCGACGTTTTTATAATAAATAAGTAAATATATACACCGTTTAAAAATAAATTAATTAATGCGAACCGACACACCTGATGACGACCGTTTGTGTTATGGTCGAAACGTCATGAGAATTTTTATTGTTTTATATATATTTTATTGTTTCCCTTCAACATGACTTTACCGAAAGAGCTAAGAATATGAATTACTGCAGTCACGAAAGCTTTAAATCAAAGTCTATGGGTAATGTTAGTCTATGGGTAATGTTAGTCTATGGGTAATGTTAGTCTATGGGCAATGTTAGTCTATGGGTAATGTTAGTCTATGGGTAATGTTAGTCTATGGGTAATGTTAGTCTATGGGTAGTGTTAGTCTATGGGTAGTGTTAGTCTATGGGTAATGTTAGTCTATGGGTAATGTTAGTCTATGGGTAATGTTAGTCTATGGGCAATGTTAGTCTATGGGTAATGTTAGTCTATGGGTAATGTTAGTCTATGGGTAGTGTTAGTCTATGGGTAATGCAAGTCTATGGGCAATGTTAGTCTATGGGCAATGTTAGTCTACGGGTAATGTTAGTCTATGGGTAATGTTAGTCTATGGGTAATGTTAGTCTATGGGCAATGTGAGTCTATGGGTAATGTTAGTCTATGGGCAATGTTAGTCTATGGGCAATGTTAGTCTACGGGTAATGTTAGTCTACGGGTAATGTTAGTCTATGGGCAATGTTAGTCTATGGGCAATGTTAGTCTATGGGCAATGTTAGTCTATGGGTAATGTTAGTCTATGGGCAATGTGAGTCTATGGGTAATGTTAGTCTATGGGTAATGTAAGTCTTTGAGTAATGTTAGTCTATGGGTAATGTGAGTCTATGGGTAATGTTAGTCTATGGGTAATGTTAGTCTATGGGCAATGTTAGTCTATGGGCAATGTAGGTCTATGGGCAATGTTAGTCTATGGGTAATGTTAGTCTATGGGTCATGTTAGTCTATGGGCAATGTAGATCTATGGGCAATGTTAGTTTATAGGTAATGTTAGTCTATGGGCAATGTTAGTCTATGGGTAATGTAACTCTATGGGTAATGTGAGTCTATGGGCCATGCAGGTAAGGTCTCTACCTGGCCCCAGCCTGCCTTACAAACCTCTCTGCTCCCCCCCCCCCCTCCCCGCGTCCACCTGTGCAGGACCTGGTGAAGTCCCACCTGATGTTCGCGGTGCGCGAGGAGGTGGAGGTGCTGCAGGAGCAGATCAAGGAGCTGCTGGAGAAGAACGTGCTGCTGGAGCAGGAGAATCGCCTGCTGAGGAGCCTCGCCTCGCCCGACCAGCTGCTGCAGGTCACCGCCTCTGCGGCCGCGACGCCGAAGCAACCGCTGCAACCGCTGCAACTGACGCAACCGGCGCAACCGGCGCAACCGGCGCAACCGGCGCAACCGGCGGCATCGCCAGCAATCGGTTGGCAGGTTTCGTAAGGGGGGCGGGGGGGGTGTGGGGGAGTTGTTGGGGTTGGGGAAACAAGACGCAGACAAATCTGAAACTTGCCGAGGTGTGGAATTGATGTCGGTCGTCGTCGCCGTGAAGAAGAAGAGGAAGAAGAGGAAGAGGAAGAAGAATAAATAAGAAGATAATTATTATATATTTTTGTTTGTAACGCGTCTCTTTGATACTGGTTTAAGAGAAATATTTAAAGCTCTGTAATTCGCTTCTCTCCCCGCCTCTATCGGTCGTCGTTGAATTTGAGTTTGAATTTGTTTTTTACGTTTCTGTGAGAGCAAGATCCGTTTGTTTTAGAGGGGTCGTCAATGCTATTGTGCCTTCTGTTACGGACATACGCCGCTTATAGTGTTTTCTGGACGTGTCTGATGGCCGTTGTTAACCCAAACATCTCGGTGTGTCTGGTGACACGGCCACTGTGAGAGGATCTCGGTGTGTCTGGTGACACGGCCATTGTGAGTCTCACCGTGAGAGGAGGTGAGAGAGAACCTCGGTGTGTCTGGTGACACGGCCACTGTGAGAGGATCTCGGTGTGTCTGATGACACGGCCATTGTGAGTCTCACCGTGAGAGGATCTTGGTGTGTCTGGTGACACGGCCATTGTGAGTCTCACCGTGAGAGGATCTCAGTGTGTCTGGTGACACGGCCATTGTGAGTCTCACCGTGAGAGGAGGTGAGAGGGAATCTCGGTGTGTCTGGTGACACGGCCATTGTGAGTCTCACTGTGAGAGGAGGTGAGAGGGAATCTTGTTGTGTCTGGTGACACGGCCATTGTTAGTCTCACCGTAAGAGGATCTCAGTGTGTCTGACGACACGGCCATTGTGAGTCTCACTGTGTGACGATCTTGGTGTGTCTGGTGACACGGCCACTGTGAGAGGATCTCGGTGTGTCTGGTGACACGGCCACTGTGAGTCTCACCGTGAGGGGATCTTGGTGTGTCTGGTGACACGGCCATTGTGAGTCTCACCGTGAGGGGATCTTGGTGTGTCTGGTGACACGGCCACTGTGAGTCTCACCGTGAGGGGATCTTGGTGTGTCTGGTGACACGGCCATTGTGAGTCTCACTGTGAGAGGATCTCGGTGTGTCTGGTGACACGGCCATTGTGAGTCTCACCGTGAGAGGATCTCAGTGTGTCTGGTGACACGGCCATTGTGAGTCTCACTGTGAGAGGATCTCGGTGTGTCTGGTGACACGGCCATTGTGAGTCTCACCGTGAGAGGATCTTGGTGTGTCTGGTGACACGGCCACTGTGAGTCTCACCGTGAGGGGATCTTGGTGTGTCTGGTGACACGGCCATTGTGAGTCTCACTGTGAGAGGATCTCGGTGTGTCTGGTGACACGGCCATTGTGAGTCTCACCGTGAGAGGATCTCAGTGTGTCTGGTGACACGGCCAATGTGAGTCTCACTGTGAGAGGATCTCGGTGTGTCTGGTGACACGGCCATTGTGAGTCTCACTGTGAGAGGATCTTGGTGTATCTGGTGACACGGCCATTGTGAGTCTCACTGTGAGAGGATCTCGGTGTGTCTGGTGACACGGCCATTGTGAAAGGATCTTAGTGTGTCTGGTGACACGGCCATTGTGAGTCTCACCGTGAGAGGAGGTGAGAGAGAACCTCGGTGTGTCTGGTGACACGGCCACTGTGAGTCTCACCATGAGAGGATCTCGGTGTGTCTGGTGACACGGCCACTGTGAGAGGATCTCAGTGTCTGACGACACGGCCATTGTGAGTCTCGCCATGAGAGGAGGTGAGAGAGAATCTCGGTGTGTCTGGTGACACGGCCAATGTGAGTCTCACCGTGAGAGGATCTTGGTGTGTCTGGTGACACGGCCATTGTGAGTCTCACCGTGAGAGGATCTCGGTGTGTCTGGTGACACGGCCATTGTGAGTCTCACTGTGAGAGGATCTCGGTGTGTCTGGTGACACGGCCATTGTGAGTCTCGCTGTGTGAGAGAGACACCCAGACCCAGCGTCTCTGTGTCTCTGACACAGCCATTATAAACCCAGAGATCTCAGTCTCCCTGACACGGCCATTATAAACCCAGAGATCTCAGTGTCTTTGACACGGCCATTGTGAATCTCCCCTGTGAGAGAGACACCCAGACCCAGAGATCTCAGTGTCTCTGACACGGCCATTATAAACCCAGAGATCTCAGTGTCTCTGACACGGCCATTATAAACCCAGAGTTCTCAGTCTCCCTGACACGGCCATTGTGAATTTCCCTGTGAGAGAGAGACACCCAGACCCAGCGTCTCAGTCTCCCTGATACGGCCATTATAAACCCAGAGATCTCAGTCTCCCTGACACGGCCATTATAAACCCAGAGATCTCAGTCTCCCTGACACGGCCATTATAAACCCAGAGATCTCAGTGTCTCTGACACGGCCATTGTGAATCCCCCTGTGTGTGAGAGACACCCAGCGTCTCTGTGTCTCTGACACGGCCATTATAAACCCAGAGATCTCAGTGTCTCTGACACGGCCATTATAAACCCAGAGATCTCAGTGTCTCTGACACGGCCATTATAAACCCAGAGTTCTCAGTCTCCCTGACACGGCCATTGTGAATTTCCCTGTGAGAGAGAGACACCCAGACCCAGCGTCTCAGTCTCCCTGATACGGCCATTATAAACCCAGAGATCTCAGTCTCCCTGACACGGCCATTATAAACCCAGAGATCTCAGTCTCCCTGACACGGCCATTATAAACCCAGAGATCTCAGTGTCTCTGACACGGCCATTGTGAATCCCCCTGTGTGTGAGAGACACCCAGCGTCTCTGTGTCTCTGACACGGCCATTATAAACCCAGAGATCTCAGTGTCTCTGACACGGCCATTATAAACCCAGAGATCTCAGTGTCTCTGACACGGCCATTGTGAATCCCCCTGTGAGAGGGAGACACCCAGACCCAGCGTCTCAGAGTCTCTGACACGGCCATTATAAACCCAGCGTCTCAGTGTCTCTGACACGGCCATTGTGAATCCCCCTGTGTGTGAGAGACACCCAGACCCAGCGTCTCTGTGTCTCTGACACGGCCATTATAAACCCAGAGATCTCAGTGTCTCTGACACGGCCATTATAAACCCAGAGATCTCAGTGTCTCTGACACGGCCATTGTGAGTCTCCCTGTGTGTGAGAGACACAGACCCAGCGTCTCAGTGTCTCTGACAAGACCATTATAAACCCAGCGTCTCAGTGTCTCTGACACGGCCATTGTGAGTCTCCCTGTGTGTGAGAGACACAGACCCAGCGTCTCTGTGTTTCTGATACGGCCATTGTGAACCCCCCTTAGAGAGAAAGGCAGACACCTGGAACAAGTCTTTGTACAATGCGCACAAGAACAACAGGACAGCACCTCCCGTCTGTCTAAATTTCAAACTCATTTACTCTCCGCGTATGAATTGAACCGCCGCCGCCGCCGCCGCCATCGTTATAAAAAGTATTTTATAAGTTGTAATATTTTGTCGTAAGGGTTTTGACCAGGTTGTGTTTTATTTTTTTGTAAATTTTTGTTTACTTTAAACTCACTAATTTTAGAATGCAGCAGCAGCAGCAGCATTGTAATAGGGCCCAACCACTATCGCTCAACCGCTCACCATGTGAGACATTCACCACCACCACCACCGTTCACCATGGGAGACATTCACCACCACCACCACCACCCACCATGGGAGACATTCACCACCACCACCACCACCCACCATGGGAGACATTCACCACCACCGTTCACCATGGGAGACATTCACCACCACCACCGTTCACCATGGGAGCCATTCACCACCACCACCGTTCACCATGTGAGCCATTCACCACCACCACCACCACTCACCATGTGCGCCATTCACCACCACCGTTCACCATGGGAGCCATTCACCACCACCACCACTCACCATGGGAGACATTCACCACCACCACCACCGTTCACCATGTGAGCCATTCACCACCACCACCACAGTTCACCATGGGAGACATTCACCACCACCACCACCGTTCACCATGGGAGACATTCACCACCACCACCACCACCCACCATGTGAGCCATTCACCACCACCACCACCCACCATGTGAGCCATTCACCACCACCACCACAGTTCACCATGTGAGCCATTCACCACCACCACCGCTCACCATGGGAGCCATTCACCACCACCACCGCTCACCATGGGAGCCATTCACCACCACCGTTCACCATGGGAGCCATTCACCACCACCGTTCACCATGGGAGACATTCACCACCACCACCGTTCACCATGGGAGCCATTCACCACCACTGTTCACCATGGGAGCCATTCACCACCACCACCACCACAGTTCACCATGGGAGCCATTCACCACCACCACCACCGTTCACCATGTGAGCCATTCACCACCACCACCGCTCACCATGGGAGCCATTCACCACCACCGTTCACCATGGGAGACATTCACCACCACCACCACCGTTCACCATGGGAGCCATTCACCACCACTGTTCACCATGGGGGCCATTCACCACCACCACCACAGTTCACCATGGGAGCCATTCACCACCACCACCACCGTTCACCATGGGAGACATTCACCACCACCACCGTTCACCATGGGAGACATTCACCACCACCGTTCACCATGGGAGACATTCACCACCACCACCGTTCACCATGGGAGACATTCACCACCACCACCACCACCATTCACCATGGGAGCCATTCACCACCACCACCGCCCACCATGGGAGACATTCCCCACCACCACCACCGCCCACCATGGGAGACATTCACCACCACCACCATTCACCATGGGAGCCATTCACCACCACCACCGCCCACCATGGGAGACATTCACCACCACGACCACCGCCCACCATGGGAGACATTCACCACCACCACCATTCACCATGGGAGCCATTCACCACCACCACCACCACCATTCACCATGGGAGTCATTCACCACCATTCACCATGGGAGCCATTCACCACCACCACCACCACCCACCATGGGAGACATTCACCACCACTACCACCATTCACCATGGGAGCCATTCACCACCACCACCACCACCGCCCACCATGGGAGACATTCACCACCACCACCACCACCATTCACCATGGGAGCCATTCACCACCACCACCACCACCGCCCACCATGGGAGACATTCACCACCACCACCATTCACCATGGGAGACATTCACCACCACCACCATTCACCATGGGAGACATTCACCACCACCACCGCCCACCGTGGGAGACATTCACCACCACCACTGTTCAGCATGGGAGACATTCACCACCACCACTCACCATGGGAGACATTCACCACCACCGCTCACCCACTTACCATTCAAGCCATGTTCTATCTACTGCTGCTGCTGCATTGGCACCACACGCGCCTACACAACCAAGCCTTATCCACAGCCACAACAACCACCACAACCACCACCACCACCGTCTTCTTGTGCTAGAAGCCATCACGACCAACAACCACCACCACAACCACAACCACCTCAACCACCACCACAACCACCACCACCACAACCACCTCAACCACCACAACCACCTCAACCACCACCTCAACCACCACCTCAACCACCACCGTTCTTCCACGCTAGAAACCACAACCACCACCACAACCACGTCAACCACAACCACCTCAACCACAACCACCACCACAACCACCACCACAACCACCTCAACCACTACCACAACCACCACCACAACCACCTCAACCACAACCACCACCACAACCACCTCAACCACAACCACCACCACAACCACCTCAATCACCGCCATTCTCCCGCGCTAGAAACCACAACCACCACCACAACCACCTCAGCCACCACCACAACCACCACCACCACAACCACCACCTCAACCACCACCACAACCACCACCTCAACCACCACCTCAGCCACCACCACAACCACCTCAACCATCACAACCACCACCACAACCACCACCACAACCACCTCAACCACCACCACAACCACCACCACCTCAACCACCACAACCACCACCACCACAACCACCACCTCAACCACCACCACCACAACCACCACCACCACAACCACCACCACAACCGCCACCACCACAACCACCACCACCACAACCGCCACAACCACAACCACCACAACCACAACCACCACCACAACCACCACCACAACCACCACCACAAACGCCGCCATCCTCTGCCGGAGTGCCGTATCTGCCACCACGCCATGGCTCTCCGCTAT